GGCTGGGAGGCGGCGCCGGCGCGAGGGGGTGCGGCCTGTAAACCGCGGGGGCGTGTCCGGACTGGACGCAAGGTTTACGCGGGCGGAGCCGAAGGGACCTGGAAAGCGGAGGATTCGGGACCCGAGAACCACGGATTCAGCACGGGACAATTGCGGGTACCACTCTTAGTGGGAGGTCAACAGAATATGGTTTCAGAATTGAGAGAATCAAACCTTTTATGGTCTGTCAGGCCCGGTCCCTCAGAGAACGGCACTTCGCAAGACCCTCAGACGGTAGCCACGCCCCCAGGGTGCTAGCGTTGGCGTTTGATAGGACCGACCGACCGTAGCTGGACAACGAGACTGAGGGTACGGCCAACAGCCTCTGCTCCCACCAACCCCAAGCGCTAGGATTTAAAGTGGTTGGAATAGTTTCTGCTTCCAGCTCCTTGAATCACGTGAGGATTCTTCCGAGTGACCCAGTTCAATCGCTGCGGTTTTGAATTGGGTAGCCTGATTGGTCATGATCAAAGTGGCCTTGAATAAGAGCTTTAGACGTGAGGAAGAGGGAAGACAAGTCAGTGTGCCCATGGGATATATTTATTTCATGGTTTCTTTATCCTGCAGATTCCCACTGCACTCTAACCCAGAGTTAGCCAGGACATTATTGACCCAAATAGTTTCCTCACTCCTGTCAAGTTACCTGTTAATCTTTTCCCCCAAGACTAACTGCAGAAATCACTGTCAAGCTTACCGGCACTAGTTTTATTAGTATAGTTTTCCCAGCTCATTGGAGGAAAGGGAGTCACAGAAATGTTTCATATGCACATTTCATAGGTGTCTAAGCCTTGGAGTTTATTTTCTAGGAGCCCAAGGATTCTCCACCTGGTTACTAACTTCAAGAAATTACAGGAGGGGGCCAGCTGATGGCATAGCGATTATGTCGTTGGACTCTCCCATGTCCCACTGCGGTTCAAGTCCTAGACCCAGTGGTTTAAAACTCATGCCTGGCACACGTGCATGCATGCCCAAGATCCTGGGAGAAGGGACTGTGGCGTGGCCATCTCTCTGGTGTGGGGGATTTTTCATTTTCCCTCTCACGGTATCTCTCTCTAAGTGAGGACACGGGCCCTAAGGCAAAAAACTCCTTTAAAAGTTACATGAAAAAGGAGAGGGGGGCTGGTGACACAGCAGTAAAAGGTGACTTTGCCAGCCTCACATAGGAGGTTCTGGGTTTGCCACAGAGACCTCTAAGGACACAGGATATGCACCTGCCTGATTCAGGGATGACAAACTGGGGGCACATCAAGGAATAGAAGCCCCGTTAGGGGTACCATCTCTCTCATTTTAAAAATAAACTTTAAAAACAAATTACAGGGACCAGCAGTTAGTGTAATGGCTATGTCGCTGGACTCCCACGTAGTCAACTGCGGTTCGCGTCCTGGACCCGGTGGCTTAAAACTTACGCTGGGCACGTGTGCGTGCGTGCCCAAGATCCCGAGAGGAGAATGGAGAAGGGATTGTGGCATGACCATCCCCCCTGGGAGGAGATTTCTCGCTTTCTGTCTCTGTCTCTCTCTGTCTTTCTGGAGAGTGCACGCGCCCTATAGCAAAAACCTCTCCAAAAAAAAAAAAAACCTCACGCTGGGCGCGTGTGCATACGTGCCCAAGATACCGAGAGGAGAATGGAGAAGGGATTGCGGCGTGGCCATCCCCCCTGGGGGGGGATTTCTCGTTTTCTGTCTGTCTGACGAGTGCACGCACCCTATAGCAAAAACGTCTCCCCCCAAGAAAAAAAATAAAAAAAAAAATTACATAGCTCCTTGGCCAAATGGCTAAGGGAGTTGGATCTTACATGGCCAGCCAGGTCAAATATCACCCCCACAGCTAGGAAAAAACATCAATGTATATGCCTATGGGACCTAAAACAAACAGGATGAAGAACCAAGTACAGTATGATCATGCCCCATAGGGAGTGCTCCCCCGCTCACATGCATACCCTCTGACAATTGAAAAGTGGAAAAAAATATGAAAAGGTTAGCATAAGGCAGAAGACGTGGGCCCTAGGTGGACAGCACACTGCTGTTTGTCTCAACCTATCCAGGTTTTTTAAATCCCTGGTGATGCTGTTAGCAAGAGGGAAGGATGCCTAAACTCATTGCTCTGGAGAACCTTGATCAGCTCAACTGCGAAGCATATGGTATATACTTGTGTTTACTGTGGCCACATACTAAAAACGAGATTTGTAAAGCTCATAGGTTGACATGCAGATCAGAGATGTCACTCCTAGAAGACAACTGGCAATAGTCACCAGAAGGATGAGGGCTCCTTCCTTTCAATCAGATGTAATAAAATATAAAACAAATTTATTTCCCAAATCTGGAAGTAGGTAGCAAGAGCCAGTAGCCACAAATACAGAACGAAATATGTGGTTAGTTCTTTTAACCCTTTTCCATTCTGATTTGACCCCTCCATGAGTAGATGGTATTACTAATAAATGGTGCCACCTAGTGTCTTTACATGCGTGCTGCAGACTGCACCAACTAACTGCACCCACTTTTTTTTTTTTTTTTTTGAGAGGTTTTCGCTATAGGGCGCGTGCGCTCGCCAGACAGAGACAGAAAGCGAGAAATCACCCCCCCAGGGGGGATGGTCACGCCGCACCCACTACTAACTGCACCAATAAATCAATAAAAATGTGCCCCCAAAGTCCCTAACCCTCACCATTTTTGTGTCCGCTAGCAGTTTTCTCACCTGCATAACCATTCATGGCTCAGTAAATGGGTTTAATAATGGTCAAAATGGTCACCCTTCAAGTGTTCCCCCTAAGTACCCGTATGTGAAGCTGCCAAGGCAAACCCGAGCTCCTGCTTTCCATCTCTAATCTAGATAAACAAACTGAAAACAATGTAATGAGGGATTTCTTAAATTTGCGATTTGTGTACTTCCAGTCTAAGGCCAAAACCACGCATCCATAATTCTTCACAATGTAAGCCAAACTTTATTGTCCAGATACCATGCTCCCTTTGAGATGTCAAAATGGGATTAGGCTACAGGCTGTCCCCAAGCTTCATGAATGCTTGCATTCCTCTAATAGTCCCAGGTCCAATGTGAATGAAGTGTTACTCCTTTTTCTCCACTGGTTACTTTCCATTTCACCCTCCAAAATACAATTGATCTTTATTTAAGCTGCTCAGTATCCATATACTATTTTTTATTCTGCTTGTATATATCCTAAACATGTATACATTGTGTTTGTCAGATTCTGAAATTCTGTCTGAGAATAGATGTGATACAGTTTGTTTAGCACTGTGCTCATTAGATCAATTTTTAAAATTCACCCTAGGTTTAACATGCAAATAAGGTGCAATTATAAGATCCTGAAAACAGGCTAGAGTAAACATTTGCTCATCAATTCAAATATTTATTGAGCACCTTCACATGCAAGGCACTGTGAGACAGCTGAGACCAATGCAGTTGGAAACAGGATGGATCTCAAAAACAATGCTTCCAAGGCTGCTTTCCTATTTAACAAAATCTCTTCTACAAGCAGAATTACAAGATAGAATTTACTAGTGTTTAGATTTGTCTCAAATGTTCCAACTCACACCTTGGTTTACCCTTCCCACCCTACTCACCTACACACACACACACACATCCTCTATCACTATTACTCAGCACTTGTGTGCTTTTGCAGAGCAGGTTGGTCATATTTAATATACTATTGATAATTATGCCTCAGTTAAAAAGCTGTATATATCAAATTATATCACTCCATTTCAAAATGTATTTTAAATTATTTTCTTTCTCCAACTGAAAATGAGCCTCAGCTTTAATTTCCTATGCATCCAGCCATTCATGTCCATGTAAAATCCCACTAGCAATAGTACAAGGACATGAAATATTGATGCCCTTACCACATGTTCTTCAAAACAAAAAAATTTTGTGCAAGAAATGTTTTCTGATTCTTGGCTACCGTTCTCTACAGAAGTACCTGAAAATGTGATGTCTACACTGTGCATGGCTTTTCCCCTTCCTTTATTCTTTTTAAATTCTGGGAATAAGGGACAAGGGCTATCATATTCTAGAGCAGTCTTCAAAATGCACTTACCTTCACATTCACGCCACCCCATTCCTCTTCAATATTTTAACCAGTACAGTTAGGAAAAAAGATTATCTACACAACTAAGCCCTGCTCCCAAATAATACATGGATTGTCTGCCTTTCCTCTGTGCTCAAACATTTTCAAAATTGTTAAAGGAAGGCCTAGCATCAGGTATTTTATTCATAATTCTGGGAATGAAGCAACTGCATTTACATAAAATTATACAAAGTGAACAATCTGTATGAAACTTATGTAACTGGACTTGATCTGTTAGTGACCTGAAACACTGAGTTGTCGGAAAAATCATGACATATTTTTGCATTAAAAAAAAAGAAAAATACGTCATGACTTTTCCAACAACCCAATACATTAAGAGTACCTCAATGTCTAAAGGACTCCTTTAATAAAACCTTTCTGTAAATTATGCAACTACATGAACATATATCTAACCTTAGGAACATCTATTATCCTTAGCCACTAAGATTGTGTTTATGTCTCATTCCCCAAGGTAACACATAAACTGCTTTGCACACTGGTAGGATGCGGCTACACTTTCTTCATTGTAGAATGACTTCAGGACAAATATGTACTATCAAGTTGTACAAAATTTTGCAGTCTTCATGTAAAACATGCTACAAGAATTAGTTAGAACGCCAAAACTTCCCACAAATGGCAAGTCAGAAACTTTGAGAACAAGAGGAATTCCTATGATAAAACTATTTCAGTGGTACCTCTCTCGGATATGTCTCAGGGCATTAGAATTCTCTACTCCAACTCAGCACAAATCTCCCAACACCAAGTCCTGCTTTAATTATTAAAACTGATTTATTTCAGGTTTATACA